AAACATGTACACCAACGCTCACCGCAGCATCAGAAACATGTACACCAACGCTCACCGCAGCATCAGAAACATGTACACCAACGCTCACCGCAGCACTATTCTCAGTAACCAAACGGTGGAAGCCACCTAAATGTCTGCTAACAGATGAATGGATAAACAGAATGTTGTACATACATACAATGAAATAATACTTAGCCATAAAGAGAAATTACATCCTATACATGCTACAACATGGATGAACTTTGAAAACATTACACTAACGGAAAACAGTCAAACACAAAAGAACCTCATTTATATGAAATGTAGAGAGACCAAAGTTTATTAGTAATAAACTGGGGCAGGAGAGAGGAAGAAAAAGGGAGTCACTGCTTAGGAAACGGTGTCTCTGTTTATGGTGATGGAAGATTTGGCAATGATTATTGGTGATTGTTGTACAACATGATTAATGTAATTGATATCACTAAATTAACCATGTGAAAAATGTTGAATTGGTAAATGGTATGCCATATATATTTTTACAATAATAAAAAAGAGGAAAAAACCCAACAGATCCCTAAAAACATTTAAAGATGCCAACCTGATATTTAATTTCTACTAGATTTCAGCTAGTCAGACTCACCTAGGTAGGTCTGACTTGGATAAACTCTTTCTGTTGTCCAAAGCTCTTCTCCTTGTTCCAACTTTCGGATCATGTCAGGTTTAGTCATGTGAGACCCTGATAATGAAAAATGAGACTTGGTCTAAGCTGTTTGGCCTTCAAAGCTATTGAAGGAAGGCAAAGGTACAACTGCAGGGTGGCAAATGAGGTATACATTTAAGTCATACCAAAGTTAATACCCTGTATTGAGCAAGTGAGGACAAACCGTGTTTTCTGCTAATGAGAGGAATCCATCACCTCTGATCCCTGAAATTCAAAGTTCCATAATTTTTAAGAATTCTTGAAAAGTGATGCATAACATGGAAAGATTCATGTTTTCCTTACCCACAGAGATGAGGTGACAATAGTTTTCCAACATCACATCCTTGTAGAGGGCCTTCTGAGCAGGGTCTAGTTGCTGCCACTCCTCCTGGGTGAAATTCACGGTCACATCCTTGAATGACACTGATCCCTGTAAGGGGATACTCTAGTTCATCTTGAAGTGATGGAGCTGGGTGAACAGCAGATATTGGGGACCTAGTTCTAACTATAAAAGAGCCTCGCTGGCACCACAGTTAAAGTGCTCACTGCTAACTGCAAAGTGGGTGGTTCAAACCAAGCAGCCACTCTACAAGAGAAAGAGTGGCAGTCTGCTTCTGTAAGAAAAGATTCCTACCTTGGAAATCTTCCAGTTTTACTCTGTCCTATAGGGTTGCTACTCACTCAACAATAACGAGTTATGGTTAAGGGTTTGTTGTTGTTACTGTTGTAACCTGCAACCCTGCGTAGGGTTTCCAGGAGCTGCTGGTGAGTTTGAACCACCTACCCTGAAGTTCTAACTTTGCAGTCTGACATATTAGCCTACAGCACTACACCAGGATGGGGAAGCAAATGTTACTGGAAAGCTCTGACCATAATAAGTGGTCAAGACTAATTTTCTTGTTTTATGTGATATAGAAAAGTCACTCTGGAGATGCATCCCTCTGTATTTACTATCTCATGCTAAAAATATATACTGAGGTTATCCTATTTACCTTAAACAACTAGTTGGTTGGTAGACATAAGTGACTAAAATACAAATCCTGCTCATACGAAGTTACCAATTACGAGAGACATACCAGTAAATACATACACTCAATAGGTGTTACAGATCCAATGACAGAAGTACGGGTAAGGTAAAGTGTCACAAAGCAGAGAAAATTTTTATTTTACACTCTTAGGTTTCATTGGAACATAAAAGTTTTATATTCACAATGAATTCAAAGGGAAAAGAAAATCAATTAGTAATTAAGGAACTAGCAAAAACCGCAGCATGTTTGGACACAGCCTCCAGGCTATTTCTAAGACTTAAAAGGAATTTAGGGATAGGCAGAGGGCATATGATGAAGTGATACTGGATTATTTCTTTCAGAGCAATGGTCATAAAAAATGTATTGAAGACATTTCTAACGTATTTATAAATTATCAATAAGCATTAACAGCGATCAACATTATTAACAATTACCAGTCTTGAATACAGATTGGTAAGATTTTTCTCCCTTCCAATATAATGTCTTAAACATTCCAGCACGGTACTTATCTCTCTTTGTATGAGCATGTATGTAATGTGAGAACATTTATACTCTAAGAAACTATATTCTTGAAAACTGCAGAAAGCATGAGCTGTTTTAGACAGGAGAGACAATTAAGTGATCACTGTAAGAGATGATGCCTAGAATCAAGTGGTTTCCTGGGCTGGACAAGGGAAAACTGATTCCTACTTGATGAGCAGCAAAAGGATTGGTCATAAAGTGTCTGGATATATCTGTAAGGCAGGTGACTGAATGCTGTGAATATAAATGAGATGTGGAAACAGAAAAAAGAGTGAAATGGACTGAAGGAGGTAATGAGGGAAACCTTGGAAATGTACTTGAAGTTGTCTATGGAATGTTCAGGTGGTGATATCTGTTGGAGGTTGGATATACAGTTCTGACACTGGACAGAGCCGTAAGATGGAGAGAAGTAGTTAAGACTCAGTAGAACGAACCTACTCAGTAGTGCCATCAGAGAGAATCTCACTGTGCATACAGAAAAAGAGGGAGCAGAACCAAGATAGAATCTGGAGGACATATTTTAAAGGTTGATAGATGAAGAGAGCTTTTCTGAAAGATAGGAAAACAGGACAAAGTACCTACCATCTTTAAGTCAAGAACCAATAAGTTAAGAATTAAATAGTTCAAGAGTTATACTTCTAGTTATGTAGCGTGAACTAAGCATACGCATTCTCCTGCAGCTACATAATTACAAAAACTCAAAAAATAAGTATACAATAGAAGTGGAATTACTGGAAAGGTCTTCACTGGCTGAGCAGTTTGTAGGAACTGCTGGCAGATGTTAGTGAAATAAACAAGAATGAGAGAAGAATGAAAAATCTCTTCTATACTTGTTGTTGTTGTTGTTATGTGCCATCGAGTCGGGTCCGACCCATAGCGACCCTGTACAGGGTTTCCGAGGGTGTAAATCTTTACGGGAGTAGAAAGCCTCATCTTTCTCCCGCGGAGCGGCTGGTAGTTTCGAACCGCTGACCTTAAGGTTTGCAGCCCGATTCGTAACCACTACGCTACCAGAGCTCCTTACTTACTTGCAATTAAATCTCTACTCTGAAAAGCTCACAAAAGAGGATAGCTTGCCACAAACTAATAATGTGATCTACCAATCTATTTCCTATCCTGTTATTGCAAAACCTAGGTCAGTGGAAATAGTCATTTTCCCTTGTCTGCCCCCAGACTATTAACACCTTAGATCTCAAATCAGTGTCTAAACAAGGTTGATTCCTTAAAGTAATATACTGATTTAAATCAAGATAATAAATTTCTAATCCAGAAGTACTTCTGTGGCAAGACTGAGAAAGATGATGAATGACATAAGCAATCAATTTATCAACATTGGTGTAATGCTGTATAATACGCACTGGACTGCTAACCACAAGGTCAATGGTTCAAACCCACCAGTTGCTTCTCAGAAAATCTATACAAGGTCACTATGGGTCAGAACCAACATGATGGCACTTTAACAACAAACAGAAGGTGCACTTAGAGGTTAATATTTATCTGGCAGGAGTGTGAGAAACTGTGAACAGATCAGTACCACCATGAAGCAGGAGACACCAAAGGTGCAAAATTTAAGGAGACAGTCCTGATGGATTCATTAAATTGTGTATCCTAGGCTACTTGTCTGCTTCACTCTAGCCAAACAAATCCCAATATCCAGGATATTTAAGGATGGGGAAGCAAATGTTCATATATCTTGGGGGGGCAGAGAAAGGGGGAAAGTTATTTCAGAAAGGAGAAAGGAAACATCATCTCACCTGAGGCATGGCTTTGAGATTTGCAAAAGATAAAATGTTCTCTTTTGAGCTCTGGGAAAAGTCCTGAAAAGGCAGAGAAGGGAGGATATAAGAATCATGTGTAAGACCATACTTAACTATCTCCCAAAATAACGCAGGTAAATCTGTATTAATTTCCACTGTTCTGGCAATTACACTTTCTGTGTATCCCAAACAAACTAAGGAGGGAGATTTGTGGGAGAATAGACAAATGCTTCCCCCATGTCAGAAACCCAGCTGGTGAAGATTAATGGATTCTGGGCAACCTGATGTAACTTGGAGAAAGAAAACATCATGCTTTGCTTCTTAATCTCCCATGCATCACAAGTTTGTTATATATTTCAAACTGCTCTTCATGGACTCTACCAATTTTCAGTTACCAGAAATGCATGAGAATATTTGACTTTTTACATTCTGATGAATACAACTGACAAAAACTTTTAAATCATTGCCTTTGTTGTTGTTGTTGTTTTTACGTGCTGTAGAATCAGTTCCAACCCACAGAGACACTGAATAGGGTTTCTGAGGAGCAGCTGGTGAGTTTGAACCACCAACCGTGCGGCTCAAACCGACTTTGCAGTCCAGGGCATTAACACAGAGCACCACACCAGGTCTCCAATCTTTGCCTATCAGGTCTTCATAGTTCTAATTTATATGTCTTTGATTATGAGTAATAATAATCTCCTAAGGAGTTTAAAGAAATTTTTGATAGTATGCCTATTTTTCTACTGGGTTTTTATTTCCTAATTACTTGACATTTTTTTTTAAAATTAAGAAATAAACTGTTTTAAGTCTCAAATAAGAAATTTTAAATATTAAAAGCTGCAAATAAGAAAAATTATTTTCTTACTTATGTAACAATTATTTTGCCTTGTAAGCATTTTCCCTCCTGTATGGTTTGCTGTTTTAGTAATAACACATGGGCATAATCCACATTTCCTCAAATAATGTGACACACCATCTTTCTCATACTACCTACTGCTGTATGTTTCAAATATCTGGACTTTCTATTTCTCTACTTCATTTACCTACTGACTTAACTTGCCTGTATCATACTACTTAATAAGCATAATTAGTTTTTTTTAATTAACAACCCTAAACTATGAATTTAAGGAGCCCTGGTAGCATTAGTAGGTTACAAGTTAGGCTGTGAACTACATATTCAGTCGTTTGAATCCACAGCCGTTCCATGGGAGAAAGATGAGGCTTTCCGCTCCTGTAAAGATTTATAGCCTCAGAAACCCTAAGCAGGATCACTTAAGAGTTGAAACCGACTTCACGGCACACAGCCACTACCACCATTATTCATTATTTTACTAATAGTTAAGTGGAGTCCTGGTATGGCACTGCGGGTTAATGCTTTGAACTGCAAGGTCAGCAGTTCAAGCTCACCAGCTGCTCCTTGGAAACCCTATGCAGGGTCGCTAAGATTCAGAACCAACTTGACTGCACTTAACAACAACAATAGTTAAATAAACTAATAGTTATATGGAGACCTGGTGTGGTGCTGTAGGATAAGCACTGAACTGCTAACCCAACCAGTTGTTTCCTGGAAACCCTGTACAGAGTCGCTATGGGTTGGAATCGACTGACTGCACTAAACAATAACAATAGTTAAGTATTTCACATTGAACAATACTTTTCAGTAGTCCAGGTAGTTGGAAATAGAATAGAAACTGATCAGGTACTTTTCCCACTCTGCACACATCTAGATAGAGAGGATACTTTGCGAAATAAACTTTTACATATTTACATGTTCATTTCTATGCATCCATGCTACCAAGTCAAGTTAGAGTCACAGTGACCCCATACAGCAAAATACAACAACTAACTGCTCCTCAGTGTTTCCCACACTGTAAATTTCCAGGGGAGCAGACACAGTCTCATCTTTCTTCTGCAGAGCAGCTGATGAGACTGTGTCTGCTCCCCTGGAAATTTGAATAGTGAATCCTGTGGTCAGTAGTCCAATGCTTGACCTGGTATGCTACCAGAGTTCCTTTGACTTCTACAGTGGACATTTTAACTAGTAAAATAACTATTTTGATTACTAAAATGAGGCTGATCTTGTGATTAAAAGTGTGCCAATTACTTTTTTTTATCTTAGAATGCTGGAAGAAGCTGATTATAGATTTCATCCAAGAACAATAAAGGTCATTCACATTGTTGTTGTTAAGTACCACTGATAGCGTCCCTGTATAGGGTTTCCGAGGAGTGGCTGGTGGGTTTGCACTGCCAACCTTTTAGTTAGCAGTCTAGTGCTTATCCTACAGCGCTACAGAAGGACTCCACATACTTCACTAGACATGGTCATACAAAGAGTTTTCAAGTTACTCAACCATCTACTATCCAGCGTGGTTACAAAATCAACACAGATAACAGAAGGTCCTGGTGTGACGCTGTACAAGGTTGGACATTGAAACTCTCCAGCCACTCCCTGGCAACCCTATACAAGACGGTCGCTATGAGTCAGGTCGCTATGAGTCAGGACCGACTTTATACTTGACAATAACAAACAACCCATATATAGTTACATTCAGTCAAACATACTTCACAGACGTACAATACCATAGCTCCCACATGCCGTTCACAATCTCAGACACATATTACAATTCCAAGTCAAGTCACACAATCACTTTACAAATCACTTTCCCATCTCCTTCATCACAGTCTCAAACACAACTCACATCTCATCTAAACCCAGACAACAGAGGAAAAAACCCACACAACTTTCATACACACCACAGGGTAGCATGCATCCAAAACGCAGCAGGTTGCCCACAGTTGACCACCCCACTTGGTTCTCACACTCACATTAACACACACACACAGACAACACCCGCTGTGTGTGTTTTAGGCTCCCCTGCCAGGGCTGGCACTTCCCAGAGTCGATACTGACAACTTCCCCCTCAGTCCCGCAGAGCACACAGCAAGTAGCTCGCACGCTTGCCCTCAGCGCCACGCCCCCCGGACCACACCCGAGGCCCAAGCTCATCTGAGGGTCCCTTCTTAGAATCACCAGGCCTGGCCTAGGTTCTCAGTACTCTTCTAGTTCTCTCCGCGTGGGTTACACTTCCCTTGTCTGCCCTTCCCGGCCTGAGCCCACCGTTTCCTCCTCAGCTTTTTCCGTGTCCCTGGACCAACCAGCCTCAGCGCGCGCCAAGCGCTAGCCGTCTGCGCCTGCGCACTGCTGCCTGAGCGAGCGCTCCCAGCAGTCTCCCGGGCGGTCCAGTAAGAAGTGCGGCGGTCCTGGCTTCCGGTGCTCTTCCGTGTATCAACGTCAGGGCTTTTCCGGCTTAGGTTACGTTTCTCAAAGGTTCCCAGACGTCAAGTGAACTTTCACCTTTAGTTGATTTGCCTCTGCCCTGTGGTCATCGGAGTAAGTGTAAGAATTAAAGTAACAGGTCTGGGTGCTCAGTAAGGTAGCTCTGGCTCTGATTGTGAATGGGGGCGAAACTTCTTGTATAGGGTAGTTTGTGACTGAGGTGTGTAACACTGTAATTATATCACAGCATTCTTGTAAACGACTGCAAGATTGCAGCTTTTTATTTTTCTTAGGATTTATTGTTGTTAGATGCCATCGAGTTAGTTCAGACCCAGAGAGACCCTGTATACAACAGAACAAAACACCGCCCAGTCCTGTGCCATCCTCACAATTGCTGCCACTGTGCCAATCCATGTCATTGGGAGGCTCCCTCTTCTGTCTTTTTCGCTGCCCCTCAACTTTACTAAGTATGATGCCCTTCTTCAGGGACTGATCCCCCTCCTCACAATATGTCTGAAGTATGAGAGATGAAGTCTGGCTATCCTGGCTTCTAAGGAGCATTCTGGCTGTACTTCTTTCAACAAAAGATTCATTTGTTCTCTGCCAGTCCATGGTACTTTAATATTCTTCGCCAACATGGTAACTCAAATGCATCAATTCTTCCACAATTTCCTTATTCGTTGTCCAACTTTCACATTCATATGATGTTATTAAAATACCAGGCACACTTTAGTCCTCAAACTGGCATCTTGGCTGTAGGACACTCAAAAGACGTCTTGCACAGCAGGCTTACCTAATGCAATACGTCATTTGATTTCTTAACTGCTTGACTGCTAAGTCCATGAACGTTGATGGTGAATCCAAGTAAAATGAAGTCTTTGACAACTTAGAATAAAGCTTCATTTTTTCAGTTCCACCTGTGACTCAATCTGTTCAAACAGAAACCCTTTTAACCACTAAAGCCGCCTCTTTTGAAACAGGGTCTGTTGCCTTCTTCAACTTAACCTTTACTATTCATTGCCTAGTTTAATGCTTGTTGTGGTTAAGCCTTCAAGTCGGTTCTGACTCATAGTAATCCTGTGTAAGGCTTCCGAGGAGTGACTGGTGGGTTTGAACCACCGACCTTGTGGTTAGCAGTCCATTACTTACCTTACAGTACTACATCGGAATCCTGGTGTGGTACTGTAGGATAAGCAATGGGCCACCAGTTCGGTTTGAATCAGAGGGTAAGTGGTTTAAACTCATTAGCCACTCCTCAGAAGTCCTATACAGGGCCGCTGTGGGTCAGACCCTCTAAGTCGAAGATACTTAACAACAATAACAAGCTTAATGCTTGGGAGCGAGGTGGCTCCATATGGTAAGCACTAAATTTCGAAACACAAGTTCTGTGGTTCAAGCCCACCAACTGCTCCATGTGAGAAAGATGAGGCTATTAGCTCCCACAAAGATTTAAACCAACTACATAGTACTTAACAACAGCTTAATGCTTAATATACAGTAGTATTCAGTCCAATGAGTGTTGCCTACCAAGGGATCTACTGGAACTAGAATTTAGGCAGAATTGCACAGTTGTTAAGTGCTGACTCATAGCAACCCTGTAAAGGGTTTCCAAGGAGTGGCTGGTGGGTTTGAACAGCCGACGTTGCAGTTTAAACCAACCTTTGGCTTGCAGTGCCATACCAGGACTCCTTTAGATACTTCACATCTTCTTTAGAGATGTAAAGGAAAATTCATAAAGCCTTTTTAAACAAAACTACATGATTAACTTTAACTCTGTTTTTGCTGAATTTGACTTTTCTTTTTATCGCTCTGTCTTGCTGTCAGGTGTCATTGAGTCGATTCCAAATCAGAGCAACCCCATACACAACAGAATGAAATACTGCCTGGTTCCTGAGCCCCATGCTCCAGTCACTGTGCCAGTCCAGCTTATTGGGGGTCTTCCTCTTTTTCGTTTACACTCTAGTTTGCCAAGCATGATATCCTTCTCCTAGGACTGGTCCCTCCAGATAACATGTCCCTCCTGATAACATGATGGAGAGATGAAGTCTCACCATCCTGGCTTCTAAGGAGCATTATGACTGGACATCTTCCAGTACAGATTTGTTTGTTCTTCTGGAAGTCCATGATACTTTTAATATTCTTCTCGAACGCCATTACTCAAATATACAGTCTTTAGTATTCCCATTGTCCAACTTTCACATGTATATTGTTGTTGTTGTTGTCAGGTGCCATCGAGTCGGAACAGACTCATAGCGACCCCATGCACAGCAGAACGAAACAATGTCCGATCCTGGGCCAATCTCACTACCGCTGCCACACTTGAGTCCATCAATGATGCCACCTGGCTGATCCATCTCGTTGGGGGTCTTCCTCTTTTTCTCTGACCCTCCACCCTACCCAGCATGACATCCTTCTCCAACGATTGTTTCCTCCGGACAATATGTCCAAAGTAGGAGAGACGAAGCTTAGCCATCCTGGCCTCCAAGGAGCACTCTGGATGCACTTCTTCCAAAACAGATCTATTGGTTCTTTTGGCAGTCCATGGCACTTTCAGTATTCTCCTCCAACACCACAACTCAAAGGCATCAATTCTTCTACGATCCTCCTTATTCACTGTCTAGCTTTCGCATCCATATGAGGCTATTGAAAACACAATGGCCTGGGTCAGGCGCACCTTAGTCCTCAAGCTGACCTCTATGCTCTTCAATACTTTAAAAAGTTCCTGTGCAGCACATTTGCCCAGTGCAATACGTCATCTGATCTCTTGACTGCTACTTCCACGAGTGTTGATAGTTGATCCAAGAAGAATGAAGTCCTTGACAACTTCAGTCTTTTCTACATTGATAAGAATGAGGATTTTTGTTTTCTTGACATTGAGATGTAATCCATATCGAAGGCTGTGCTCTTTGATCTTCATAAGTAAATATTTCAAGTCCTCTTCACTTTCAGCGATCAAGGTTGTATCATCTGCATATCGCAGGTTGTTAATGAGTATATTAGGTGATTGAAAATAGTATGACTTGGGTCAGGGGCACCTCAGTCCTCAAACTGCTGTCTTTGTACTTGAACTTAAAAGGGGTCTTGTGCAGCAGATATTCCTAATGCTACACAACTCCTAATGTGGCACTGTGGGGTAATGCACAGACTGCAAAGTTGGTTTGAACCTCAAGTTTGGCAGTTCAAGCTCATCAGCTACTCCTTTGAAACCCTATACAGGGTTGCTTTGGTTCAGAACTGACTTGATGGCACTTAACAACAACAACAACATACAACTCCTGATGTGTATGATCAGCATTGAGTACAAACTACAAGGTCAGCAGTTCAAACCCACTAGCTGTTCCTCAGAAACCCTATACAGCATCGCTATGAGGTGGAACCAACCCAACAACACTTAACAACAACAACAACAACAATGTATGATTTCTTGACTGCTGCTTGCATGAGCATTGATTGTGAATCCAAGCAAAATGAAATCTTTGACAACTTCAATTTTTTTTCCATTTATCATTATGTAACTAATTGGTCTAGTTGTCAGGATTTTTGTTTTCTTTACACTGAGGTGCAGCCTAGACTGAAAGCTGTGGTCTTTTAACTTCATCAGTGAGTATTTTAAGTCCTCTTCACCTCCAGCTAGCAAAGCTGTATCATCTGCATATCGTAGGTTGTTAATGAGTTTTCCTCCAATCCTGATGCTACGTGCTTCATATAACCTAGCTTCTCAGATTATTTGCTTAGCATACAGACTAAAGGAACACTGTGGGAAGCGCTTAACTCTGGGTGCTTGGCAAGGCCGCACTAAGAGGAGAGACATTATGCACGGCATATGATTCTCAAAAGCTGACCCCTATCTTCCCTTCAAGTTAGCCCTGAATTTACTTGTAAAAATATATAATATAATTTGGCAATATTCTCAGCTTTCACTATGAGATCTACAAACCTTAGGAAAAACTAGCTAAGCAGCAATTGCTTTCAGCCTTGGTGGATTGAATACAAAGAGAAATTGTATAAATTACTCCTTCTCATAGAAAACCTAAGTAACTGCATTTGTGAGGCCACAAAAACAGATAGCATTTAGAGTCAAGCTGACCCACCCCCATAGGCCTCACCACATTCAGTCACTAGCTAGAATTCTCAAACACCTACATACAAACACCTGCATAAATAAGTAGACAATAATGAACTTAAGTGAAGGATAGTTTTGACTTAATAATCTACACTTCTTGCAGCAAGTAGCCAAGTTGAGCTTTATACCACATAGCTTCCAAGTGATTTAATTAATACCTTTATTATGAAAATAATAGCACATTATGTAGGATAGAAGTTTATAGTCTTTTAGTAGAAACAAGAAGAATAGTTTTATCTCATTCTGGGCAAGGAGATGAAGGTCAATCTGAACATCATAGAAGTATTTTTGTCAAGGTTGTCTAAATGACCAGGTGCAAGAATGTTGTGACTAACTGTGTAATAATTCAAGAAATGATAAAAGTGTCAATGCATGTACTGTGTAATTTTAAGTATAAAAAATAAAGACTTGCTGGGCTGGGCTAGCAGAAGGCAGAGAAAAGCAGAAGGCAGAAGAAAGAAAGGAGAAGGAAGCAGAAGGAACTAGCAGAGCCAGGGAAGGCAGAGCTAGGAGGAAGAAGAGGGCAGGAGGGAGAAGGCAGAGGGCAGACAGCAGAGAGCAGAGGGCAGACAGCAGAGAGAACAGAGAGCAGAAGCAAGGGCAGAAGCTAGAGAGCATAGCCGGACAGCACAACAAGTTGAAAAGCCTCTTGAGTTGTATTCATTCATTTCTTCACCCGACGTTTCCGCGTATTCGCTCGTGTCCCACGACCCCCGCAGAGGGCAGGAACCCCCGCAGAAGACCATAGAAGAATTGATGCCTTTGAGTTATGGTCTTGAATGAGAATCTTAAAAGTACCCTGAACTGACAGAGGAACAAACCAATCTGTGGGGGAAGAAGTGCAGCCAGAGTGCTCCTTAGAAACCGGAATGGCGAGACTTCATCTCTCATACATTGGAGATATAATCCCAAGGGACCAGT